GTATGTGGCTGACGCGGAGGTGCTGGTTGCTCTCGTGCGCGTGGCGGGCGTCGGCGACAGCGTGCACCTCATCGAGGTGGCCACGGGCGCGAGCTCGCAAGTGGGCGTCGAGTCCCCGCTCGTCGCGGCGGTCGACGTGGGCGCGGCCACCGCCCTGCTGCGCCAGAACGGGACCCAGAACGGGCCCCAGAACGGGACCCAGAACGGGACCCAGAACGGGAGCGCAGGGGTCAGGTTCGAGCTGCTGGAGGCCGTCGGGTCCCAGGTGGAGGTCTGGTTGGTGAGTCTGCGAGACTCGCAGTTCGAGGCGTCGAAGGTGGCGACGCTTGGCGGCGCAGGTGGCTCCTCCCCGGTGACGGCCGCCAGCTTCGGTGCACGGACTGTTCTGGCTGGGCGCCAAGACGGAACGAGCTCCCTCTGGGAGAGGGCTGGGCTCGGCTATTCCCTGGTGTGGGTGTTCCAGCCCCACTCGCCGAGTGAGGTCCGCCAGGCCAGCTGGAGGAGCTCCGAGGCAGTCACCTCCAATGCCGACGGCGTCGTGGCCCTGTGGAGCTATCCACTGCGCGGGCAGGCGGGGACCACTCCTCTGGGCATCCGGCTGGCGCCAGATTGGGGCTTCCCCCTGGCTGGCGGGCGCGCTGGCGGAGCTGCGCGGGCGGTGCTGCTCAGCCTCGTCGCCTGGCCCAGGCCCGGGGAAACGTTAGACTCGAGTGCGCCAGAACACGGACTTGCCGATGCTTCTTGACAGACCCGTCCTGGATTTTGACGGTCCAGTTTTCGTGGGATGCTTGGTCATACGTCAGACTGGGTCTTGCCATTTCTTTTGCGGCCCCGCCAGGCCAACCCGAGCCCCACGAACCCGAGCTTTGCGTCTCCCAGACAGGTCCCTGCGGGCGCACTGCGTCTGGGCTGCTGCCCCGTTGGTCTCGGCCGACAACTGGATCGCCGTGGCCGACGCGCAGCTTGCCGACGAGAGCTCCGCCACGTCCTTTGTCGACAAGGCCAGGCCAGCCACGCCGGGGGGGTGGGCTGTGGTCCGTACCCCTCGCTCACTCGAGTAGGAGATCGACAACATATTCGATGTCCCACAACCTTGTTTTTTTGGCCACCTCTACCGACAAATACGTATCATCGGCGTCGCCCCAACATACTATTACTGTGTGTGTATGTGTGTGTGTGTGTGTGTGTGCGTGCGTCGCCCCCCCAGGGGCGACACGCGCACCGAGAAATCTTATAGTATGTGCGTCGTGGCTGGCGCTTTCTGGTCACACCGCTCTGGAAACGATCTGCTACAAGAGGGGTGTACTATATGTTCGGGTCTGACGCGCGCCTCCAAGGAGGCCATACAGTACCAGTCTGTCTCTGTGCGTCCCATATAATGTCAGTCTATCTGAGGACACTATGCGCATGTGTGGCACGCTCGACAACAAAAAAACACTGTGGTAAATCCCTTCTGCAGTCCATCCCCTACTCGAGCTCCCCTGGAGGGCCCATCGGCTTCGACAGCCCTCTCGAAAGCTCTCTGACATGACGGCTTGCCCCAGAGGCCCAGACCCCCGACGCCGTGTGTTTTCACCACGTGGACGTCCAAAGGTTCCAGGAGGGAAAACACACAGACTTACATAGTCGTCGCTTCCCAAGACAATAAGGGGAAGTACAGAGAGTGGAGGGGACGACGAGAGTCCAGAAAGTGTGGGAAAGCATAGGACATCGTGGGATCTAAGGTCATTTATGTGTTTGTCTCTGTGTGTGTGTGTGTGTGTGTGTGTGTGTGTCACGGGGCCCCTTGCAGAGGTCTCAGCCCCCTTCCCCGCGATTGGCTTTTTGCTCGTCCTTTTTTGTTTTTTTGTTTTTTTGTTTTGGACCCGGGGCCCGGCCGAGGGCCCTCAAGAGGCCGAGAACGGCCAAGAATCCTCTGCCGTGATTCTCGACTCGAGAATGGGGGGGGAGGAGGAGAGATGCGTCGATGATCGATTCTCGATCGAGGAGGGAGGGGGAAGGAGGAGGACGAGGAGGGATGCGAGGGGAGGGGGAGGGAGGAGGGAGGGGTTGGCTGGAAGGGGGAAGGGAATGGGGCGGTTGGGGGGAGGGGGGAGGAGGGGGAGGAGGGGGAGGGGGGAGGGAGGAGGCAGGGGGGAGGGAGGAGGAGGAGGGAGGAGGGGAAAGGACTCGAGAGGGTGTCTGGGGTCTGAGTATCGAAGGAGAGGAAGCGCCATAAACACGAACTTTGGGGCGCTCCGCGCGGATTTCTTGGATCCGCGCTGGGCCCCCCTGGCGGCGCCTCCGGCGCCGTCCCTGGCGCGCTCCGCGCGCCAGGGAGGAGGCCCCAGCGCAGATCCAAGAAATCCGCGCGGACTGTCGAAAGTTTGTGTTTATGCCGTTTTTCTCCCTCACCAGAGTGGGCACATCAAACGAGACATCGTCCTGCCAGCAGGTGCCCCACTGAAGTTTCTCATCATCCGATGGCCCCCAGGGACCCACAGAAAGCATTTGGGCACTTCCAGACCCTCACAGATGGACGAAGAATTTGCCCCTACACTTTATATTTCTTATATCACGAGTTCTTTCCTCAGTGTCTACTGCAACGAGTTGCGACGTTATCGAATCCTACCCGTGCAGGTCCAATCGGCGCTGGGGTATCGGACACTCTCGCCTGGCTTCACTTGGCTGCGTACATCCGTCGAATTTTGACCTCGAGCCAGTTTTTCGTAAATCTGACCTGCATGGACATGTACAGCACAGCCTCGGATATTTTCGCTCACGCTAGCAGAGTTCAATCAGAGGTCCTTGCGGGGTTCGGCGCTTCAATTTGCTTGTTACTTCGGTGTCCAGGCTAGCAGTCGCCCGCAACGGTGCTGCAATCTGGGACCGCGCTCTCCTTCTACTCCTGCCCCCCCAAAAGGAAATCTGACCTGCAGGGGTAGGGTTCGCACTTGTGTGCTTAAATTCGGCATTACCCAACACACGCACACACTAAAATTATGTGTGCGTCTGCACCCCAGGGGCGACGCGCGCGCCGAGAAATCTCACAGTACGTCTGTACTCGGAGGTGGGCGCATTTTTGGCCATACCGCTCGGGAAACGATGTTCTACAGCATGTTTGTGCTTTATGCTCGAATCAGACGCGTGCCTCCAACAGAGGCACATCGTACCAGCACGTCCTTCTGCATCCCGTGCATGGGTATTGGGGGTGGACAGAACCCCCACCCTGACACGTCGATGAGTGAATTGTCCATTTTCGGTTCTCGAGAGGGTGCCGCGACCGCTACTTCCCAGACCTGCGCCCGCCAGGCTTGGGCCCGAGGTCGTTTTCACTGATCACGTTTTACTGGGGGGAGACCTGTCCATCCCCGAGGGCAGGGCTCACGTCTGGGATGCTCCAGACGGGGCCTCGCCTGCGAGGACCGAAGGAGTTGGTGTCTCTCTTCGGCGGAAGAGGCGGCGGATTGTCGGCGGCCGGCGGCGGACGCAGAATTGGGGCCTCAATGCAGTGGCGAAGCGTCCCAGCTCGCCCACAGGCCTACCAAAGAATGTTCTATCAACCTTTTGTGGTCTCCACGACATGTTCTTTGAACATAAGAACATGTCTGGCTGGGACTGTCTTGCCTCAGCGCATCGGGTTCATGTTCTAAGAACGCTGTGCTTGTTCTTAGAACCTTTTTGGGTTCTAGGAACACGTCGTGGTAGGCCTATGGGGATGCCGGTACGGTCGGTCCCTGCTCAACCCAAGAGCTGGAAATGGGCTCAGTGTTTCCAGAATCGGCCATCTGTTTGCCGCTGGGGCGGCGATCAATGGGGGGGCGACCAAAGGGGGGGGGGCAGCGAGGGCTGCCGAAAGGGGGCCTTCCATAGGGCTCCTAGGGCCCCCAGAGGGGCCCTTTACACGGCCCAGAAGGGGGCCTTCCGTGCCCGAGAAGAGCACCTTTCTTCCCCACCGATCGATCGCCCCCCCATTACCGTGAGATCCGACGTCGCGAAACATTGCAACATCGCCAAACATCACGCCCAGAGCACCGGACCCTATGTTTCTGCATCGTTTTTCTAGCCGGATCGATCTGCGAGGGTCCCGGGGCCCAACATCGAACGAGAAAACGCGAGCCCAGTGCCCAAAATCGAGCGAGAAAACGCCCGTTGTGAACAAGTTGCAGCGTCCGGATCTCAGGGTATAATTCGCGCCCAACCCCCGACCTCCCAGGGTGCTAAAAACTAACACTCCAGACCTCTAGATCTATCTGGATCGCCTCAAACCTCGACTGGAGTTGGGGCGTCGATGTCTTGGTGCTTTTTTCGAGTCCTCATGGAAGGTCAGGGGCATGACTTCGGCCCCGCCCGCCGTGCCCGGCCCGGCGCGACAGGTGGCGTGCCCCCTGCCGGCGGAGGAGGCCCTGGCGCTCCAGCTCGAGGCGGTGGCGCCGGGCGCGGAGGGCGCGGTGCTGCACGTCGGGCTGTCGGCGGACGGCGGCAGGAGTTCGGGGGAGGGAAGTCAGCCACGCGCAGAGGGGGGCGGGGGGGAGGGGGGAGGGCTTCTTAGGAGCGCCCCGGCTTCTTAGAGGGCGCGGGCCTGATCGTAGACTACAGATGTAAGGCTGGCGCCTTCTGAGAGGCAGCCTCCTTCTAAGAAGCCCTCCCCCTCCCTCCACTCCCTTGTGCGCACCGCCAAAGCTCGGAGGAGGGAAAGGCACCAATCTCGGGCCGAACGAAAGGGGGGGATAGGGAAAGGGGGGGGTTACGAAATCTGCTGCATTCAGCTGGTTCGGCCCCGCCGCTGGGCCCATTCCTCGATGCCTGGGCGCCTCCCGGCGTTGGAAAGTCGGCTGCGTGAGCTGATTCTCTACCCTACCCTTTGCCATCCCCCCCTTTCGCTCCCCCGTCAGATGGTCGGTTGGGGAGGGGGGAGGGAGGGGGGAGGGAGGGGGGAGGGGGGAGGGAGGAGGCAGGGGGGAGGGAGGAGGAGGGGGAGGAGGGGAGGAAGGACTCGAGAGGGTGTCTGGGGTCTGAGTATCGAAGGAGAAAAAGCGCCATAAACAGAAACTTTTGGCGCTTCGCGCGGATTCCTTGGATCTGCGCTGGCCCCCCACCCCCCGGCGGCGCCATCCGGCGCCGCCCCTGGCGCGCTCCGCGCGCCGGGGAGGGGGGCTGCAGCGCAGATCCGAGAAATCCACGCGGAGCGCCAACAATTTCCGCTGAAGTTGATGGGCCTGTGTTCCACCACCACTACCATAGGTAGGAGATGGAGAAGGAGGAGGAGGAGAAGAGGAGGATGACCTCCTCATCCTCCCTTCTCCCCCGTCCTGCATATGGTAGTGGTGGTGGAAAATGTGCCCATCATAAGTTGTTCTTTCTTCCCGTCAGAAGGACAATTGTCTCATGGACAACGATAGGGGGGATGGGCATAGGGGGGATGCATCGACCCCCAATCGCCCATTGATCGCCCATAGGGGCCCGATAGCCCCAACCCGTCCAAGAGAAAGTGCGGATTCACAATCGTGGTCCTATCGCCGATCTATCGGCCATGTATCGCCGATTCCAGGTCGATGCATCCCCCCTTATGCCAGTCCCTCGCTATCGTTGCCCCTCATTGCCGGGCTGGGAGGAGGGTCGCCATTGGGGAAACAGGTCCTGAGGGAAACGGGTCCCGAGGTTTTTCCCTGTTTTCGGGTGCTCGGGGCCCTCCCAGGGCCCCGGGGCTGTCAGAAAGCGGCACGGGAGGAATATCTCGTCCTGGGGGAAGTCCCCGGGGGTCCAGGATCCGTTTTCCACAGCACCCGTCTCCCCCTTATGCTGAGATGGGGCTGAGAGGCATGATCATCTCATCTGTATTGCCGCATATGCTGGCTGTGCCTCTTACCCAGTCGTGCCCTGCATCGCACCCCCTTCTCTCCCAACACGGTAGTTGTCCTTCCCTCAACCCTTACCGCCACCTTTGCCTCGGAAGGGGAAAGGCTCCTCGCTCTGCGCCCTCGCATCGCAGGGTGGCGCTGGGCCAGTGGCCGCAGCGCTTTGGAGGGACCAGCACGGCCGCCTCCTGACCGCGCTCGGTGTCGGCCGCGAGGTTCCGAGGAGGGAGCGGTACAGATACCGCTACCCATGCCTCGTTTTCCCTTTCCTGGGCCTCCTGGGAGGCCTTCGTCGCCTCGGCTGGATTCGCCTCGAAGTTCTGGTCAGACCGCGCCCTGGGATAACTCCGGGGTGTCGTAAGCAGTAGTCAGGATTTGTGTGAGCATGCTTGAGAGCTGTGTCATGCAGGTTTCCGTAGTCATACTCAGTGCTCCAGCTTTCTCTGCGCGGCTGTTCATGTCAGTACTTTTTGATTTGGCTGGAAACCAGCCCCTTTCTATGCACTGGACAAGATAACTGATCCAGAGTCATATGGCTGGGAGTTGTTGTACGTACCATTGCCTCACTTACCTCATCGATTCGGCTCGAGATTGGTAGTGTGGAGCTTAGTTTGAGTGATAATCGGACGAGGTGGCGTCATCGAGCACTGGGCAATCCGACAGGTGTGATACCCAGATAATGCTTACCTGAGACGGCAAGGCGGTGACGTGGGATGAAATACCAAGTGTTTTTGTTATTATAAAATATAAAAAAACGAAGGAGGACGACATGAAGCTGCTAGGACCCCGCTTGGTGCAGACGTTGCCCAGGAGCACCGCGCACAGAAAATTGGCCCTGCGATCGCCGCGAACGGAGGAAACGGCTGACACGATCGTTGGTGAGAAGGGTCCGGGCAACTTGTTGAAGGCGTTCTCCAAGAGCCTGGACAAAATGGCTTCGAGCGACCTGGTGGACAAGGTGCTCGGCTCCTTTTATGATAAGAAGACGAACGGACCGAGAGTGAAAGACCAGGTCCGACGATCAGCCTTTTCGCGGAGCAGGAGGAACACGCATACCAAGAGATGGACAAGGCGGTCCGAACGACCGCCCCAGACCTCAACAATTTTGAACTATTCCCCGACGAGTTGCGAGGCACGTTCTTCCTGGTGAGAACCCAGGTGAGAATGCGACGATTGCGACAGAACTGAAGGTCGGATTCAGAACGGCATGGACTTCCGAAAACACAGCGGAGCTGGTTTCCAAGAAGACAGTGGGACGACTAATCAGTTTACCTCGATGGAGGTACGATCGAGGAAGAAACGAGCGTGATCTACGAGGAAACGTCTCAGGAACATATCGGGGAGCTGGAGGCCTGCGCCGAGGACGCCGAGATCTTCGCCCAGGATGTGCACTGGACGTTCACGGAGGCAGAGAAACTATTCGCGGAAGCTGCCTAAAACTGGAGTGGCAATTTCGAAAGAGCGCCAGTGGATCACCTGGAAGACACAAAAGGGGGGGGTGCTCCAGGGACCCCCCCCCCCCCCCCCCCCCCCCCCCCCCCCCCGGAGGGGGTCCGAGGGGGGGGGGGGGGGTTCGAACCCTCCCCCCCCCTTTTTGAAAGGGGGAGGGGGGTTCGGAAACCCCTCCCCCCCCCCCTTCCCTTGAAGGGGGGGGGGGGTTCGGAGCCCCCCCCCCCTCCCCCCCTTTCCGCAGGGGAGCGAGGTTTGCGAGGGTTTAGGGTTTAGGGTTTAGGGTTTAGGGTTTAGGGTTTAGGGTTTAGGGTTTAGGGTTTAGGGTTTAGGGTTTAGGGTTTAGGGCCTGCATGGCGCATGCGCGCGCTGGCTGCGATCCCCCCCACATCAAGGTTGTTGGGGGGGATCGCTGCCCAAGCCGCGCGCGATATGAACTTGCACTCCCGCCCCAGACCACCCACAGTAAAGCCCTTTAGGGTTTAGGGTTTCTCCCCCCAACCCCCCTATCAAGGGGGGCTTTCGTGTTGTGTGCGAATGCGAATATTCCGCGGGGAGCACGACGACGCGGTTTTGGCATTGCGTTCTTGGTACGCGCGCAAAGCGCTTTGCGCAGGCGCAAGAGCCAGCGTCGTCGCATGGCCAACAATATTTGCCGTGGGTTTAGCTGCATTCGGCTGGCTCCCAGTTGGCGCATGGCTTTGCCGAAGGGCGGATTCTTCTCCTGCGGGTGTTCATTGCAATCAGAAGGCGCAGGAGAGGCCTGAAGGCCAGGCGTCGCCGCATTAGGTTTTGAGTTGCGGCGTTGGCCTGTCGCAGACGCAGCATTGCCCCTGGTTCCAGTGGGCCTCCTGCATTGGCTTTTGCCGTTGGCCTGGCTGCCCTTGCAGCCGCCGTCGTAGACGGCTTCCGCTGGCGCAGCAGATCCACAGGTGTCCGCATTTGCCTTCGGCGTTGGAAAGCAGCACTGCGAGGGCGCTGGCGCGGCAATCCCATGGGCCCCCGTGGGCCTCGAGCGCGCAGCCGCGCCGTCGGGCCCCTCGCTGACGGCGACGCGCACGGCAGTTGCATTCGCCCGCGGCTTTGGGTTTTGCTTTGAGGTCGCCCCCGCTGAAGCGATTGCAAACATCGACGCAGACGCTGTCGATGCGAGCTTCGGAAGGCGGGAGGAGGAGCGCGAGGGGGTGGGTCTGGCACCCCCTCGCAACGATGCGCGCGCATGGCTGCGGCAGCACGTCCATGGCAGACCCCCTGGAATGCCTTGGGTGAGCTCTCTGGGAGCGCTGAGGGAGCGCCTCGACCTTTCCCCAGGATGGAAGCACGTGGGAGCGCCTGGGAGCGCGACAGGACACGCAGAGTGCACCGCGAGCGCGAGCCGTGAATTGCCCGTTGGGCTTGACCGTTGGCGTCGCCCCCGCTGAAGCGATTGCATTGTCGACGCAGCCGCCTTCGGCGCGAATTTCGAATGGCTGGAAGGGGGAGCGCGAGGGGGTGTGGCTGCTGCAGCACCTCCATGGCAGACTTCTCGGAATGCCTTGGGAGAGCTCTCTGGGAGCGCTGAGAGAGCGCCTCGAGGTTTCCCCAGGATGGAAGCACGTGGGAACGTCTGGGAGCGTGACAGGACACGCAGAGTGCACCGCGAGTGCGGGCCGTGGGTTGTCCATGGGGCAGGACCGTTGGCGTCGCCCCCGCTGAAGCGAGTGCATTGTCGACGCAGCCGCCTTCGGCGCGAATGTCGCATGGCTGGAGAGGGAGCGCGAGGGGGTGGGTCTGGCACCCCCTCGCTACGATGCGCGCGCATGGCTGCGGCAGCACCTGCATTGCGCTGGGAGGAGCCCTGGGACTGCCTGGAACTGCCTGGGCACGCTTGGGAGCGCGCGGGAGCGCATGGGAGCGCCGCGTGGCGCCTTGGAGCGCTTGTGGGTGCTGAAAAGCGCGTGGGAATGCTTCGGCGCTTGGGAGCACCTGGGAGCGCAGGGGAGCGCTTGGGAGCGCTTCGGGGTTGTGGCAGCGCTGGGAACGCTGGGGAGCGCCTGCGAGCGCCTGGGAGCGCGCCAGGAGCGTGCCGGGAGCGCTTGGGAGCGCCTGCGAGCGCCTGGGAGCGCCTGGGGGCGTGCCGGGAGCGCTTGGGAGCGCCTGGGAGCGTCTAGGAGCGCAGCCAGCGCGCGCCTGGGAACGC